ATACTTAATGATGAGGAGTATCCAAATCACCCCCATGTATATGTTCTACGATTTTGCGTACTTTTCGAGTTATAATTTTTTTAAAGTTTTTTTCGCAATTTTCACCTAACATCGGTTTTCGATTTTTTTCTCATTCTGTTGGACGTTTCTGGTTCAGTTTTTTTGTAATAACTGACTGACATAGTCTAACCTATCATCCTAAAACTTATGGTTTATCTAGGCATTGCAGAATTCACTTAGAATTTGTTCGAAAGTTCAAAATTACGATTTGAGCTCAGTACACACAAATTTTCAAAGTATCAAAAAAAAATGTAAATGGGGGATTTGGAGTTCAAAGTGCTTTTAGAAACTTTCTGAAACATTAAACTTTAAAACAAGGTCAAATAAAGATAGTGTTAATGGGGGTTTATTTTCTGTAATTGACCTTCAAAGTAAATTAAGGCATTTTTCAAGGAAAAAAAATAATTATTTTCTTTTATTTAAATCTTTGCCTTTCTCTCAGTTATGATGGATTTGAGTAAAACGCAGTTAATTGTTAACAAAATACATTTATTTAAAGCAAATTTTCAAAATTTCGCCCTCCCACAGAAATACACAATCTACATCTGCGCAAAAAAATATGTTTTAGGTGCCTAAAAGCTTCACGGTTATTTTTCACAGTGGTTTCAGCTTCGCGAATTTTTGCTCTCAGTTCTTCTTCACTCGAAGCTTCTCTGGCGTACGCAATTTCTTTAAAGTAGCCCCAGATAAAAAAAAACAATAGGGTTGAGGTCAGGCGAGCGTGGTGTCCAGGCAATTGTCCCTCGTCGTCCGATCCACCTGTTGGGGTAGGTCTGGTCTAAATGGCGACGCACTTGTGTCGCGTAATGACGAATGATGCTTTAAACAAGTGTATTTTGTTAACAATTAACTGCGTTTTACTCAAATCCATCATAACTGAGAGAAAGGCAAAGATTTAAATAAAAGAAAATAATTATTTTTTTCCTTGAAAAATGCCTTAATTTACTTTGAAGGTCAATTACAGAAAATAAACCCCCATTAACACTATCTTTATTTGACCTTGTTTTAAAGTTTAATGTTTCAGAAAGTTTCTAAAAGTACTTTGAACTCCAAATCCCCCCAATTACATTTTTTTTGATACTTTGAAAATTTGTGTGTTCAAAAGCTCAAATCGTAATTTTGAACTTTCGAACAAATTCTAAGTGAATTCTGCAATGCCTAGATAAACCATAAGTTTTAGGATGATAGGTTAGACTATGTTAGTCAGTTATTACAAAAAAACTGAACCAGAAACGTCCAACAGAATGAGAAAAAATTCGAAAACCGATGTTAGGTGAAAATTGCGAAAAAAACTTTAAAAAAATTATAACTCGAAAAGTACGCAAAATCGTAGAACATATACATGGGGGTGATTTGGATACTCCTCATCATAAAGTATCTAAATTTTACTTTTGAACGTCAACTCCCCGGCCACCCTGTATAATACTTACTAATGATCCACCCGGGCATTGTACGGGCGAAATTTATTTATCGGGAAAAAATATAGCCTATGTCTCTCGGACAAAATGTATTTAAATAAAGAAAAATGTAATAATAAATAATGTAGCTACCTTATGATGAATTAATATTTGAAACCGGTTCAGTAGTTTGACAGATTATTTGTTACAAACATACAAATCTTGCCTCTTTATAATATTAGTATAGATAGTTAATAAAGCTTTGTTCCTTATTAACAGAATTATAGACTACTGGACTTGTTTTTTTCTTTTCAGTTTTTATTTGAAGTATAATTAAGCAGTCGGGTTTTTTGATTTTTTAAATTTATCTTTTTTATTTCACACTTTTTAGTTAGTTAGTATTTTAAGATGGTACATACCGTAGTCTTGTTACTTCAGTAAGGGAATTAATATCGCGGGAATTATTAAGTACCTTGCGTCGGTCTAAAAGATTGATTTATTAAGACATATAGAGACTTTACCAGCGAGGTCAAGGCTACAATCAATTTTCGCAAAAATGTGTGAAGTTAAATCAAGTCGTTACATAAATATCTCTAATGTATGTAAATTTTTTAGTAAACTAGCACTTAGTCAAAAAGTCATCTTTTGTTTATGTTTTGTTTAATAGTTTAGCAGTAAATATAAAATTCATTTACTAAAATTCGTCGACTATTTAAAATTGGTAGTGGCTGCATTGTCATGTCAATGCCGGACGACTAAGATTGTGATATACACAAATGCAGTGTCAGTCCCTAGTGTCATAATTTGATATACCTACATAATTCACAGAAACCCAATATGTAGATGCCAGAAGTTAACTTCAAATGTTTTTAATCAGCCTATATACAATACCAATCAATGACGTTTATGTCGCAGGTTGAAGAAAGCAGTAATTCCCGTTTGTTGTTTTGGACAATGGTGGCAACTGCCTTAGATCACTAAATTAAATAATTATGCAATCACCAAAGCAAAGTTTATAATATTTGATTTAACTAAAGGCGCATAATAAAATTTTCATAACGTTAGGTAGAGCACCATAGCAATCTCATTTATTATCAATTTATAGTTCTCTTTGTAGTTTTCTTTTAAAGCGTTCGCATATAACAGGTCAAAGACTTTGTGATCTACCCTTTTTTATTGCAATTATTTTCCAATTTTTTTTTTGTTAATAAAAATACCGAATATCGTATCACTGTTAAGCACAAATGCTAAGTAACTTTTACAAATATAATCAAATAAACCTATTACTTACTTTATTTTTAAATCTTTTTCATCAATGAAATACTTATCTTATCCTAACTATCTATACTAATATTATAAAGAGGCAAGATTTGTATGTTTGTAACAAATAATCTGTCAAACTACTGAACCGGTTTCAAATATTAATTCATCATAAGGTAGCTACATTATTTATTATTACATTTTTCTTTATTTAAATACATTTTAAATTTTTTTATGCGTATTTTTAGCATAAGATAAGTATCGAAGCTTATCTAAGCACACTGCCGGATTTAGGGGAGGGCAACCGGGGTGAAAGCCCTATTGTGGGGACAATAGGGACTTCGGAAAAAAAATCTTTCAAATTCCAACTAGTAAACACTAGTAAACATCTTTTCCTTTGATATTTTTTTTTGCTCTTTTACCTTTACCTACAGCCTACAGTACTTTGTACATCTAACAAACATGATTATTTGATTATATTAATCTCAGGGCCGAATTAAAGGCAGGGCAGGTGGGGCTGTGGCCCAGGGGCCTCCAGAACAGCTTAAGAAATAACAAAATTTCGATGGGTCAACAAGCATGAAAATCCTTAGTGGCCGGGGGCCTCCACAAAAGGATAAAAGATAACAAAATTTCGATAAGTGGCCCGGGGCCTCCACAATCCTTAATCCGGCCCTGTCTAAGCATGTAATTTTTTTTGGGCTCCGCAAACGGAAAAAAGAAAGCGAATTCAGTTGGTGATTACAGCTTGTGGAGTAGAGTAGTAGCTTATAAATATTATCGTTCTGTAACGTATATAACAGTAACTGACATACTAAATTTTGCATCGCTATATATCTCCGAAATGGTGATTCTTAGGAAAAAAAGTGTATGAACAGCATGATTAATAATTTTTGTCTTACCTATTTTTATAATAAAACTTACCGTTTAGCTGGAAAACTCAAAAAAGCGATTTTTGCAACATTTGACCTTGAATATTTTTTTTTCACACGTTGGATTCATGTGGATAATTGACAAATTGTGTGTAATAGGGTTCCCAACATTCATGCCAATTTTCAGCTAGGTCACCTAGGTGCGAATTAATGTAACCTTACCCCTATTTTTGAAGCTAATTTGACCGGACTGTTAGACTTTCTGATCGTGAAGCGATCAGACATAGGATGTAGGTATGTCCGAAATTTATTATTTCAAGCTCCTGCGTGCTTCAGGAAGGCGCGTTAAGCCCTTGGTCCCGGCTGCATCTGTACATCTGTGGACGTTAGCACCAAACAATCCACATTGATTCCGCACGAGTAGTATTAGTGGTAATGACAGTCTCGGTCTTATATTCCTCTCGCAGTTCGATTGTATATTTCACTTTATTACATTCCGGCTATTATATCGTGCGAGTTTTAACTTGGTTTTTGGCAGTTTATTTATTACCTATTCTCATACTCTCACATTGCCTGTCATAACAACAATATTTGGAGCTTTAGCAACTTTGTAGCCTGAATTGAACCTGAACACCAAAAAACGTTGTGAACCTCAGTCTAGCTAGCACCATCATCTTACCCCATGCCTCAGAACATGGAATATCCACCACTTAAAAATCAGCCTCACCACGACAATCACCAAGAAATCAACAATCAATAAAACAAGATTACCTTCGTGTAGACCACCCAGCATGCAACTGTCGCCACTATAGTACCAACCATTCCCCAAATTTGACTAGAATTGGGAAACGAGTCATCTTCGAAATGTGATCTGTGTTCTGGGTCATCGCAGCCGCAAAAATATATCAACATTTTAAATTATTTAATTATGATGTTCCGTAAAAAATTGACAATTTTGACAAAATCTTGGGAGATAATGTCAAAATTATAGAAGAGAGTATGTACTTACTACCACGTTAACTAACTACTACTAACTTACAGTTTCTTCTGTGCAAACAAAAATTTCATGGACCAAGTACGTAGCGAAATGCTAGGTTGATAGAATTTTTGATTTATGGCTTCGCTTATGTGGAGACGAAACCGAAATATCCTTTAGATGGAATGCTTTTAGCGGATAGAATATGGTGGCTACAGTTTTTCGCGAAAATATAAATTTCTGGGCAGAAATAGTGGACGCAAGTTTATATAGGAAAACAATTTATTATTCCTCGCATACGAAATTACTGTTAGTAATTATTTTAAATCTGAGGTTTAAATAGATCTCTAATTTAAGTTTTTATAACTATTATAAAACACCGATGTCGGTTGGTGAAGGGTAAAAAAACACTTTTTGAAAATAAGAAGAAAAGTTAAATATAAAATTAACAATTTATTATTGACTTTCGTATCAGGGAAAATTGGAAACAAAATCAATCTCAAATGTTTTTAAAACAGTTTTCATATGACTGATGTAACAATGAACTGTAACGAGCATTTTAGTGTCGTTTTAGACAAATTAGAATCACAAGGTTTAACACCCAAAATTTTACATTTAATCTTAAAACTATAAACTTAAAATAAACTTTATCACTTCTGCTCAGTCGGCACCATTAACGAATACCTTGGTAAAAGCTTCTTGGAATACGGTATTTTTCAGTTTAGTCCTTAAATATGCCGACACTTGGAAGTTATAGTCATTACTTTTCTCGGCCAAATATGCAAACAGTGGTAATATAACTGCAGACAAGTCTTCTGTATTGTCATCTTCTGCAAAATTACACGTGAGTGCAATCTTCTCCATTGCTATTGAAACTTGGACGTCGTCTAAAGGTTCTTTGAAGAATTTGTACTGCAAATTAATAAGAGAGTTAAAATTGGTGATAGGCACAATCTCGTCTTTATGTAGATGTAAGGATATGAAAACCTACCCTTATAACATAAATAAAACACCGGTAGCAGTATAACATACAAGCCCAGGTTGTTTCAGTACGGTGGGATCTCTCCAACATGCTGATTAAGAATACAGAGTCATAAAATATTTCCAACTTCTCTGCATCTGTAAGCGCTGCGAGGCTGTCCCACATATTGATCCATTCTTGCTGACAACACGAACAAAGAGCCTGGAAAATCACACTAATTTAAAAAGGCGAAAGTTTTTGAGTCTGTATGTTTGTAACTTCTTCACGTCTAAACGGCTGGAGCGATTTTAATAAAATTTGGTATGGAGTTAGCTGACACCCTAGATTAACACATAGGCTACGTTTTACTGCGGGAAAATATCCCTAATAAACCGCGGGTAACACCGCGGGGCACACCTAGTAAAAGATAAATTCGCGCACATGTCTCTCATTCTTGTTGTGGTAGCTTATTAAATCATTTCCGTTTGCCATTGGCAGAGGGGTCCCGGTTGCAAATTCATAAATATACCCGATGCTTTAGATAACCCCACCGTACCGTATACGTAGTAGGTTCGGTCAAATAATACCGCCAAGGGGTTAGATGTGGTGTAAAATACATAGTTTAATACTTTATAACAACTTGTGTTTGGCGTTGAAGATCAAACTGTGCGTGCAGGCGTGGACAATGAATGTCCAAAGTCACTTTTGCTAAGGGTGACTCGAAGGAACTACGCGGGAGTTACACCTGCGGTTATTGACTGGCTGCGCGACCTGGATGTAGATTTATAAACCAAGTTATCTACAAGAAATTAATTGCTATAAGATTAAATAAAATTCTAGATGCATCATTCACGCGTTCCTGAACCATTAAATACCTTTTCACACTTTTTTTGAAGATTTCCCTCATACAGTAATCCAAAGGGAAACCTGTGGCATGAATTACATTGTAGAATCCTATCGTGCATGGAATAGAGCACGAAAAAATCTCCTCTAACCGTTCCTAAGCACTTGCGGTTAACCGCAGCGGTGCGGTGACAAACCGCGCGGTTGGTCGCTTTTCCAGTTTAATATGAAATTTTGTTGCGGTTAGGTACGTACAATTTCAGTTGTTTGCATATTAAACTGGCTCCTACGCACTAGCGGTTAACGGCAGGGGCAGCGAACCGCGCGGCTAGCCGCTTTTCCAGTTTAATATGCAACGGCCTATGATTGTACGCACATAACCGCCACAAAATTTCAAGGAAAATATAACTACAAAAAATGTATCGTATTCATTTTTATTCTTTGATTCTTATCAACTAATTCCATAAAATACGCGGGCAACACGACAGGAAGTTGCTAGCACGTTCGAAAACGCAGGCCGCGGGAGGGGCAAGTCTCTGAAATGAGTCAAAACGAAGAAGATAGGACCTGCCCAAAGATAGGTGCAGTACTCCGTTTGAAGGCGTATTTGCGACATATAAAATAGCAGACTGAGTTGCGCAATGAAATACCCCTTAATCCTATTAAGCACACCGATCGTTTTGGACGCCAGCTTGGCCTTATCTTTAAAGTGTTTACGCAATCGAATATCGATAGAAATGTCGATGCTCGTGATGAAAAGAAACGTATTCTGATCTGGAATCGAGGGACCAAAATTAAAAATATTAGTTTATTTACTAAAAATAGTGAAATACATACACTTAATACTAGAAATAAAAATAAGTTAACTTTACCTGCTACTAGGCTCCACAAAATTAATAATTCGTTTAGAGGTCTCTGATTTCGCTTTTACAATAAAGTCCCAAGCAATATTCAAGAGTTAAGCCTGACTAAAAAATCAACCATTAAAAAATCTCTTGTTAAGAAAGCTTATTATAAAGTATCTGATTATATTACAGACAAAAATGCTTAGGTTTGAACTGTTCCAACCATTCCAACGGGTATTTCTATATGATATATATTATGAATCATGTGTTGACGATACTTCTATTGAATTTAAAAAGCTGTATTTAAAGTTGATTACTTAAGGAAGAATATCAGAATATTTAAGAAGATTTGAATGACAAAACGGCATGGTCATGACTTCTCCATTGTTTTTGTTTTGTGATTGTTTGCAGTGTCCTACAGATAAATGACTTTAATTTTAAGTAAATATGTTGTGGTTGATATAGGTGGTCATGGGTAGTCATGCTCTCTTAAAAGTCTCTTCGGTGGCGTCGTGTGAGGCGGGTCGTTACGTTCCCTAAAATATGGTTGAGCGAAGCGATGGCTGGTTCATGCGTCATGCTCGTGAACGGGTGCTGCCAGCGGAGATGAGTTTGCCCTAACTACTTTGATATTTAAGTTGTAAATGTGTAATTACACCTATTATAAATAACACTGTTTGTATTTATACTGTGTTACACAGCAATCAAAATGCAGATGAACAATTAATGTATAATTTCACATTATGTAATGAAAGGTGACTTCATGAATCATCTCTGAAGTCATTTTTCAACTTGACGACTCTGTAAATGATAAAACAGGGAGAAAAAAACAGCCCTTGCTGAGTTTCTTGCCGGTTCTTCTCAGTACAAGGTCTCCCGCCGTAGATTTACGAACCGATGGCGTAGCTTCTAGACATTCATATGTGCTTGTAACAGCCTAAACTGAATAAATGATTTTGATTGATTGATTGATCGAAAAGTGACTCTTAACTTGTTCCAATGGAATTAAAATAGACTAAGTTACTTTTACCCTATACAGTAACTTTGACTCGATTTGAGACACATGTCTTGTCGATTTTCCTCTACAGTAGACTGCGGGATGTTAGGGCAGCCCGAATAGTCGGTACTAATGTGTCAATGTATATCGTTGATAGTGTTGATACACATAATGTCATTGATTCCAATGTCAAATAGGGGACACCGAAACTTGATGTCCATGCTGTTAGAACAGGTGCTTTCAATGCTTGTACCAGACAGAAAGCTGGCAACCAATCCTACAAAGCCGTAAGTAGTCTATAAAATGGTAATTTCAAGAAAAGAATGAGAGCCTCACCCAATAAAACAGTTTAGCTCTATAATAGTTCACAGCCAGGACCTCACCTTAGCTCATAACATCTGCATCTGTCAGACCTGTCGACTATTTTTAGGTACATGGGCTAGCATAGACTATAATGAAGATATGATTATTTTTCTGTAGTAGATTAACACAAGACACAGTTTAGATGCACCATGTTTGAGCACCACAAGGTATACAATCTAGTCCACTTGACTTGTAAATATTAAGAGACATAAACTTCAGCTAAACTATAGCTGTGTGATTATATTTTTAGGCAAGGAGTGTCCTCACCACAGAATAGTGGGAGGATCAGCAGTCAGTTATGAACCATTTAAAAATGCCAACTTTAGATTACCTGTGAAAGCCTGGTACCCAGTTGCACAGTAGACATGCCACTAATGACTTCAAGTCCTGTGATAATTTCAACAAAGTTGTTTCCAGGTGGATTCCATAATTTTCTGTAGTAGTACATGTTGAGAGGTAGTAGGTTTCTTAGTTTTGTTTTTAACCAATTACTTTCATTTTCTGAAAAACAGTCACAACAAAGTCCAAATAAATATTATGTTTTATTATATTTTTATACAACAAAGGTTTTTTGAATCTACAGAATTATCTACTAGAAGGAATGAATGTTTACTGTAGTTTTGATTCTTTTTTTTTTGTAAATATTTAATTAAAATTTTCTTTTTGAATTACCTGGTATTTCAGCCTCATATGTGCTAAAAAGGGAAGACTGTATTTCTAAAGCTAGTTGTAGGGTAGATGGGGAAATACTTTCAAATGTATTAACTTTCCATCGAACTGTATTCAGTATTTGGCCTATCATTGCCAGCATTGGTGCTCTGTACTCTAACAGCTCTTCTAGAGTGTAAGCCGCTTTGAGCAACATGCACTGTGTATTTAAGGAACTAATATCACTATTCAACAGGGCTTTATGAATGTTTGGCATAATAATTAACAGAAGCAACTTTGTCCCTGTGATATTGTTCATGTTTTTCAGTTCACAGAGAAAGTAAATAAAATTATTTTTCTTAGCTAATGTGTTTAAATTGCAAAAGCTATTCTGTGAAATACGTATTATGCAGGGTTCAGTATCATAAGTATAATAATGACTTGAATAATTTTCCAACAACTTCATAGCTCTTAACATTATGTTTGCTTGTTGCATATTTTCTGCCGCTAAATTGAATATTTTACTGTAAAGTTTTTGCGGGTTTTGGAGAAACAAACATAGTATATCAGTTAGGTCAGCATCTGGTGATCCAATAAGTTTGTTAAATGTTTCGGTCATGGTATTCACAAATTCTGGGGTTTCCAACATATCCACAAAACAATGATTACTAAAATATTCTTCCAATATTTCTTGTTTTCCATCATAGCTGCAATGCTGAAATAGTTTTACAGCAAATGGTTTTAAGTATTCAACATTCTCTGCATTTGTTAATACATAGTTTCTTAGATTTTTATAAATTTGGAAACATTCATTTTCATTCAGTAGATCTAAATTTGAAGCAACACAATCAACAATAGATTCACTGCTAAACACTTCATCTCTTTGAATCAGGGCTCTTAGCCATATAATTTTACCTTCACTACATTGACTTATGTTTTCAACTATAGTTTCAATACTTGCTGATTCCACTATATCACCTAATTCCACTGGTTTACATGAGATTTGTAGAGTCATACTAACAACTGGATGCTCAGAAACGTTAGGTATGCTTAACAGTTTAGTACGCACTTTATAGCACAGTTCTCCAATTTTCCTTTGAACACTTTCCCCACATTCTTCAAACTCACTCCATGCACAGAATATGTCAACACTGACACCCATGACTACTTCTTGAAATTTATCTAATAGAGCTGTGTGAACTTTGTTCAAACAATCAGCAATTATTGTATTAGGGGTCTCACATATTTTAAATTCTATATTTCTTTTAAAAACTTCTGTACATTCATTCCGATGCATACCAATATAATAAGTTAACATGTAAACATCATCATTGAGAGGATTTAAAGTCTGATTTGCAGTGAACTGCTCAAAGCACTCATCAACTAAAAGGAGTATGGAATGAAGGCAGTTACCTATGTACCTGTAACACTCATCTTTGCTCATAGCATTGAGTTTTTCTGCTTTTGGTGGATTAGTATAGAAGCTAACACATTTTTGGAAATGATTAAACACCACAGTTAACTTATCTACTAACTCGTTGTCACTAAAGTTGAAGAAATAAGATCTGCATACAAGTTTATATAAAGCAGAACAGATAACTTGCAGTTTGTTAAGACATTCACTTGGTGAAAAATATTTGATACTGTCAATAAATGCAGATGCTATCTCCAAACCCAAATCAGGATGTGTAAATGCTATGGTTTCATAAACAAACTTTTCAAAATGCAGTTCCCAAAAGATTTCACACATAAGACATTTAGGAATGGTTGGTATTGTCCATGTAACTTCCATATCAGCCATTGCCTCTATTATTGGCATATCCGCGTTTAATATTATATAAAAAGCAAATTTTCTCGTTTTAGATATTGACTCTTCCACCAGTCCATGCAAAGAAATATATCTCTCTTCAAGAAGAAATTTAGAAATATTTTCTATTATATACTTGAATTTATCTTCATTTCCTAAAACAAGACAAGACGAAATAACTTAGAAAAGAACCAATATATAAATGATAGATCGAAAAACTTACACTAACCGGCTTTAGAAGTTAGTCTTGAAAAACTATGAACATTGTCGGCAGATATCATAACTCCTTGAAAGGCTGATAGTTGTGGACAGAACTCCATAATATTATTTAGAAATTAACCTTAGTAGAAACGAGTGCGTAATAAAATAAATATGAATTATTTTAATATGTGTAACTTCTTTTTACCCTCTTATTTCAAAACATCAAACTAAAATTATCTGAATGTGTGCGAGTGACATTGACAGTATGGTTTTTTAGTTTTATTCTTCCATATGGGGAAAGGAAGACAAAGCAAAATGCAGCTATCGTTTTAATTTTTTATTAAGTTTTTTTTTACATTCTTGGAAAATTTCGCAAGAAATGTATCGTGTCAAGTCCCACCACCTGTTTTTTCTGTTCCATATTTAGCCTCTAATTGACAGAAAAGCAGCCACGTCGTTGGGTCTCATATTTGAAACAAAAAGACTTTAAAGTGAATCATAAACTACGCAGATACGATAATATTTTATCTGCGTATAAAAAAATATATATCTGAAAATATCACACACTACACAGATACGATAATATACGAGAAGATTCACTCGTCGGAATCCTTCAGACTGAGTAGTTTTTTTTTGGTAATGGTTGTTTATACAGTGTTTTATAATGAATACACCTTTTACGGAAAATACGCATTTATTGCTTCTGGATTTATAGACAGCTCATCAGAAGATGATCCTGATTTTGAATTAGATGCTCACCTTGCTTAAAAATCAAGTACTAAAACGCGAAGCAGGCCCGCCGGTCCGGGCGATCCCCTCCCCTCTGTCTCACCCCAGACCTTGCTTTTGCGCATCCACCTGTATTTACATGCAGGTAAAATATAATGCCATTTTGTATTGGCAGATGTTATCTGCAGACATAAATAAATGATTGTTCTCGCTACCAGACCCGTCTTTCCCAGTGGGCACTTTGGACAAGTGCCCAGGGCCCCGGGGCCTTCCTCAGATCAAATACAAAGTCCCTAGTTCCTGTTAAATCACCAAACGGGGGTCATAGGGGAGGGGACCCATTATCCTAATATGCCCAGGGCCTCCAATAGGTCAAAAACGGCACTGCTCGCTACACTCCACTAGATACCGCGCTATCAAAAAAACAACAGCTCCGGTTATGCGGCAACTCATTATTGTATAATGCGATTCAACTAAAATAGGACCGACTGGGTGCCATATTGTGAAGTCATAGCTGTCAATTCAAACCAAATAGGTAGAGTGAGCAAAACAAAGTTTTTATTTAAAACTTATATACTAACATTAATTGAGAAAAAAATTGTGTGTGTCAGCTCCGACGCACGACCGGAGTTTACACTTTAAAAACGATTGTCTTTGAACAGACACAAAACAAAATCAAGTCCGAAGAAGTCGGTTATAAGTAGGAAGGAAGTACCTCAGGAATCGTCCCATGGTTTCGACTATCATAGGTTCCATGTCACACATTTTATCATCTAACATCAGCGATATTCATCATATATTTTATTAAGTATTTCTGGAAACACAATTTCAAAAATATCACACACTAGTCATCATTCCAGAGTGCTGGACACTTACCGGCATTTCTCTATATTCTGTTATTTATTTGTTTTCATTAATTTTGCTCCGATTTTATCTATTTTTAGTTTATTTATTTTAATGACATCTGTGACAACTTAATGTTTTTATCCGTTGCCATGGCTAAAAGTGAAAGGTGCGCAGATGAGGTTGCGCACAAAAACGTAACGAGGTCATTAGTGTCATTCATCGATAGATTTTACTCCTCACATTTTTCTGATACCGGGCCCCTTATACTCGTATATGCAAATCGATTCTTAAGGAGTAAACTCCAAAAATATTTTTTTAAATAAAATTTATTTACTAACATTGAGAAAAAAAAACAACCGATTTTAGATAATATTTATTTATTAAGACTGTGTAAGAAATAACACTAATCAGAATCTAGCTGTCAAGTCCGCTCATGTCTGCATTACCATTCGGAGTAGTAATGAATAATCATGCACTATTACTAGGTCACATACGAAAACATACATACATCCTTTATGTAAACGAAAGTTTTAAATCGAGTTTCTGAACGCAACTTAGTGACATTTGGTTGTTTGTTTTTTTTTTGTTTCCTCCCAGGCGGGGGAGAGGGTGAGAAATCCTCATGGATACCCACCCAACAGCCGGCTGTAGGGTTATGTCAGACTCTTACTGACTAAAAAACACCCTTTAATCATGCTTATGGCCGGAAGGGCCTTACAAGCTTCATCTGAAGCGATCATCCCCCGAAAGGGGGATGATGCGGTCCATTTGGTTGACGATTTAGGTTATCAACCATTCATAGCCAAAGCTCAATAAATGGAAAAACAATATCAACCAATGTTAATTAGCAATATTTGTTATTGTTCTTTTACAAATGTTTGGTTTTTATTCTAGAATTAGCAGAGTGCTAAAAAAGTGTTCCAAGTTTTTTTTGCAAGCCGCACTTTTCAAACTACATTTGACAGATACAGGTCATTGGTGGTGTGTATTCAATTTGCAATGATGCTATCAAATGTTATAAATCGTGTAGCCAGCTGCTCAACTGCTACCCAAGTAATAGGGAAAATATTGTAGGTTATAATTATTAAAACCTTCTCCTTGAAATTCCCTGTCACTCTTCTGACTTCTTTTCTTATTCCTTTTCTGTGCACGCTGCTCGGCTGTGGAATTCTCTCCCTGAAGGAATCAGAAAGGCTCGTTCACTTAATTCCTTTAGTGATCAAGTATTATCTAAATAAAACTAGTTTTTACGGGTTAATGCACGAAACTTTATTTATTGAAGTTTGGTAGCCTTTACAGGCTACGTCGTCAGAATCAAACTTTTATTTAATTTGTCGAGCTACCTTCGAAAGACTTTTATTGAGCGTTCGGTTATTTCATTGTTCGATTTTTAAAGTTATATCGATGTCGATTCTGGCATGTTTCTCTAAATCTAAACTTAAATTTGACAACAGTGGTGTCGATTCTGACATGATTCTCTAAACCTAAACTTAAATTTGACAACAGTGTATCCTTGTCATTCTCTATGCAAAGTGAAAAGGAGAGACTGATGTTAAATTTAGTTTTAAGTTTAGAGAATCGTGCCAGAATCGATACCAGTGTATCCTTGTCATTCTCTATACAGAATGAAAAGGAGAGACTGATGTTAAATTTAGTTTTAAGTTTAGAGAATCACGCCAGAATCGACACCATTGTCTATGTATGAATTTATTATTTAATTTACATAATATAGTATTTTATTTAAAATTCTTTTTTGTAATTTTGAGTTTATTTATTTGACCCTAACTACCGTAAACTACCACCGGTTCCAAAATTGGGAGACCTTTCTGAGAAGAACCGGCGAAACAAACTTAAGAGAGGCTTTCTATCTCCTCTTATGTTAAATTATGCAAACAAAAAGAACTAATAGTATCTGATGGTCTTGCAGTGTGTGCTCGGGGTTGGGATTTTATCTCCTGTATAATAGGTTCCCAAGCTGGTGGTATATACCAACCATCTTCCCTATTGAAATTTGGATATTTTTTAATCTCAATAGCCTCGCGCATCATTCGAGGAACGAACCGCCGCGCAGTTGCAAGGATCTGTGGTTTATCAAATCTAATGTAATGGTTTGGTCCCCTTAATGCATGTTCACACACTGCAGACTTATTTTCGCGCCTATGTTTCATATCTGCGATATATTCTTTTACCCGAGTCCCTATACTCCTCTTTGTTTGCCCGATGTAGGAGAGCCCACAGTCGCATTCAAGTTTGTAGACACCAGCAACTTGAAAGGGTATATTGCACTTGACCGGTCGTAGAAACTGGTTGATCTTCTTTGGCGGCTTGAAGTATGTATTGATTGAAGCACGCTTCAGAATCCTCCCAATCTTGTCAGTGACTCCTTTCATGTAAGGTAGTATAGCAGGTTGTCGGTCGACTGTGCTAGGTTTGGCGCGACTGTGACGGTGACGTGGTACATTCAGGTTATTATCCTTCAGTACTTGCTCGACATGCTGAAGTTCAACTGCCAGGTGTTGTTTGTCACAGACACCCCGTGCTCTCTGAAACAAAGAGTTTTCTACGGCAGTTAATTGTGTCGGGTGATGGTGTGAGTCACCATTGAGGTACCTATCAGTATGAGTCACTTTACGATACACAGTATGGCTTAAACTTCGGTCAGGATTCCTGATTAATAAAATATCTAGAAAAGCTAGTTTACTATCTGCCTCTAACTCCATAGTGAATAGGATGTTGGGGTGTATAGAGTTAAGGTGATTTAAAAAGGCAGAAATTTGATCTGTTCTCGTAGTCTTCCATGAAAATATCGGCGACAACAGGTGCGACAGGGGAACCCATTGCAACGCCCTCCTTTTGTACATAGAAGTCATCCCCCCATAACAGGTAGCCAGATGTAAGGCAATACTCCAGTAATACTGCATATTCTATAGGCATATTATATTCAAGTAGCTTCTTCTTAGTGATTTCAGTGAATTAAGTATTATCTCCTGTATTTACTTTTGCACCCCCCTATATATTTATCTATATTATTATTCCTCTTCCGGCTACGGTTGCCAGATTGGCTGGACTTGGCTGGATTGTTCAGCTATTTTACACGTTGTCCAGTGTCCCGGTTTTAGGCAAAATGCCCAGCTAAAATTAAAAACCACCAGTATTAGTGGTTTTTTCACCGAGTTGGCAACACTGGCTCCGCTGCGGTCTCTCGCTATCTATGCCCGGGACTTTCCCGCCCATCCAACCCGCTCTCGAAACCCCGCCCGCCGCCGAAATATATGTGGCAGAAAAAGTTATTTCATATTAATTTTGTTTGATTAAGGATCCTCTGTTTTGTAATAGTAAAAAAAATATATGATAATGCTGATTAATGTATGTGGCAAAAAAGTTATTTCTTAATTAAGGTTCCTCTGTTTTGTAATAATAAGATTTTTTTTTAGTCATGCTGATTTTTTTTGTCCAGCCAAAAATCCTAATGTCCAGATATTTTATAATATTGTCCAGAAATTTTGATTTCTCAATCTGGCAACCCTACTTCCGCCATAGGTTGCCTGGAAGAGATTGCTGTTTAGCAATAAGGCCGCCTATTGTACTCTTTCTTCTGTTTTTATTTGTTTATGTTTTGTGTCCTTTGTTGTGTGCAATAAAGAATATTTATTATTATTATTATGTACCTGGTTATAAAGGTAGCTCTTAAAATACTTAAAGATGCACTAAATTAAATGCGAAAATATCAATATTATAGTGTACTTATACGACTAGGCGTAGGTTTCTTCTTCAAAAAATGCTTAGGCCTCAATTTATTTTATTTACATGTAATATTTACTTGTACATTAACAGTGATTCAAGTGTGATAAGTTGGTCACTATAAACGAGACAT